GTATCAAGGCATAGACCTGCTATTTTTTTAGAAGACCTCTTTTTTTTTTCTTTTTGGGTCATTCCCGGTGGTGCACAGGAGTTACTTACTCCTAGCTCTGCAGTCAGGAATTACTCCTGGCAGTGCTCAGGGGAACATATGAGGTTATGGGATGCTGGGAATCGAACTCAGGTCAGCTGCATGCAAGGCAAATGCCCTACCCGTTGTGCTATCGCTCCAACCCTCCCAGAAGACCTCTTAATCCCCACTACCCCTACTCCTGCACTCACATTGGGGCCCCTCTGTAATTCTTTCATCAGAGTGAAAGTGGGGAGGGGGGGCATTGGTGATCAAATTTAGGAATTCACATATACACAGCAAGTACTCTCCTGCTGAATGGCATCCGGGAAATAGAGAGTGTGCTTGGCTGTGGCCGGTGCCCACATCTCACACATCACAGCTCTCCTTCCCTGGAACCATGCGACCTGGGAATAGCCAGGACTCAGCCCATGCTCACTCCTGATGCTTCTCCCTCTGTGTACCTGTAAACTGTGGTTTTCTCTGAGTCCCACACACGACAGCGGTCAACAATTGGACATGTGAGGGCAGGCTTCCCCTCTGGGACGGGACGGCGGAACAGACATGCAGGAAGGATGAGAAAACTCAGCCTAGCGCAGTTCCCTGGCACCTCTGAGCACCTGCTGCAGGAACCCCTAGCTCAGGTGCCCCAGAAGCCAACCCCTGCAGGCCCCACAGGGCAGCAAGATCACCCTCTCAGGACCTGGCGTTTTGGCGGCCCCAATATAGCTCAGCAGTAGGGCGTTTGCCTTGCACACAGCCAGCCCGGCTGACCCAGGTTCGATTCCTCCGCCCCTCTCAGAGAGCCCAGCAAGCTACTGACAGTATCTCACCCACACGGCAAAGCCTGGCAAGCTACCCGTGACATATTCGATATACCAAACACAGTAACAAGTGTCACAATGGAGATGTTACTGGGCCCGCTCAAGCAAATCGATGAACAATGGGAGAACAGTGACAGTGACAGTGATTATTAATGTAGGAGTACTGCTATTTATTCAGCCATTGATTAAGCTGATTGAATTGGACATGAACTCCACGTTACATTTTTTTTAAAAAAATGTAAATTGAATATCCATGAGATAGACCATTGCAAAGCTGTTCATAATTGAGTTTCAGTCATATAATGATCCGTTGACCATTTCCCACCACCAATGTCCCCTTCTTTCCTACCACCGTACCCCAACCCCCCACCCCGTACCCCAGCCTCCCTCTATGGGAGGCACTTGCCTTCTTGATCTCTCTCTCTCTCTCTCTCTCTCTCGCTCCTTTTCCTTTTGTGCATTATGGTTTGCAATTCAGGTGCTAAGAGGTCATGGCATTTGTTCGGGGCATTTGGTATTATCAGAACGGTAAGGCTGGAGTAGCTTTTCAGTTGGGTTGGTGGCCCCAACTCTTCCAGCCGTCATAAGCCCCGCCCTACCGGGAGGTCCTCTGTGTGGAGATGGCTCATTCGCACTTGCTCCCCAGTGGAGGTTCATTGTGGCCCAACGCAGCTGAAGAAAGAGGTACTGGAATGGACAATAGCCCGCTGCTGAGCAGGTCCCCAAGTGCTAGGGTGGGACTCGGTCCCCACAGATACTCTAGTCTTTTCCTTCTAGGGCACACATGTTACTATGGAGCACTGGATAAAGTTTTACTGAGTCTCTTTTTGGACCTACAGTGTCCTGAACTATTGGGGACACTTGAAAGAACTCAGAGCATCTAGATCAAGCTCGAAAGGGATCTTAGGCTCACCTATTCTTTTCTTTTGGTCTTGGGTTTTGGGGTGCTGGGGCGTATACCCAGCAGTACATAAGGGCTACTATAATCAGGGGTTACTTCTGTCAGTGCTTGGGGACTGTGTGCAGTACCTGAATGAAGGCAGGGGCTGGTCACATGACTGCCTTATGCCTTAAGCACTGCAGTCTCTCTGGGACCCCTCTGTAATTTTTTTTGGAGGTCACACCCGGCGATGCACAGGGGTTACTCCTGGCTCATGCACTCAGGAATTACTCCTGGTGGTGCTCGGGGGACCATATGGGATGCTGGGAACCAAACCCAGGTTGGCTACGTGAAAGGCAAATGCCCTATCCATTGTGCTATCAATCAAACCCCCCACCGCTGTATTTTTTTTTATCTGATGTATGAAGAAATGTTGATTCCTTTGGCTAATGGACAACTCCCTTCAAATCTCCACTTAAAAGGGCTTTTTGTGGGCCTACGAGAATGCAAACTTGGGGGGCTGCACCCTGAGAGTGGCCTCTGAGGCACCATGAGGGGAAACTTAATCCCTCCAAAGGGCCGTTTTGTTCTCTTGTGCAGGAAGCTTCCTCCTTGAGGGCTAGGGGGGCTCTGTCCAACACCTCAAGAACATGCTGCTCTTCTCCCATCGGAGTCACATGAGCCTCTGTCTGGGACCGCTTTATTTGTCATTGGACGGGGACTTTCCTGAGCCCAGAGGTCAGGGTTATCTTGTCACCCTTCTCCCTGTAGAGGAAGCACCCAGGGAGAAGGACCCAGAACTGGGGGTGGGTCTTGGGCTAGAATCCAGGTCTCCCCCAGCCCCCTCCAAGTCAAAACCTGTGCTTGATTTTGCACTATCCATGATGCCTTCAGAATTCTGATCACCCTGCTCCCACACACACCCACACCCCAGAAAGGATGCAGATCTCGGGGAGAGGAAGCAGGAACTTGCAGAACTGCTCCATTTTCTGGGCCTTGTTCTGTTTTCACAAGTGCCCAGAGCAAGAGGGAAGGCTGGTAAGGCGAGAAGAAACAAAATGACTGCCAGTGCCTGTGGCCCTCGAGATGTGGGAAAGGGAGTAGTTTCCTATCTAAGGATTCTCCACACTGCACAGCCGTGAAGGGCCCCATTCTCCATCCGAACTCACCCTGGATCCCAGGCAGGATGGCAGGCTCTGTGAAGTCGGCAGTGCAGGCACCAAGTGCAAACTCCAGGCTGGGATCCTTTCCCGGCTGCTCAGAAAGCCTGACACACTGGATACGGTCCTCCAGAGGCTAAATCCCAGCCCTGCCAGCTTTTTTTGTTTGATGGTTTGATTTGGTTTGGGGGTTACACCTGGCGATGCTCAGGAGTTATTCCTAGCTCTACACCCAGGAATCATTCCTGGCAGAATTCAGAGCACATTATGAGATGCTGGGGATGAAACCTGGGTTGACCGCATGTAAGGCGAGCACCCACCCTGTTGTACTATACCATACCTCCAGCCCCTGAGGTCTTCTTCCCAAAAGTCGTGGTCTGCGGCAGAATGCCGTTTCTGTTTCATAGAATTGGGGTATCACGAAGACTCCAAATAAATGTTCTTTTCTTCTCTTCCCCCTTCAATGAGTTGGAGCGATAGCACAGCGGTAGGGCGTTTGCCTTGCACGCAGCCAACATGGCCAACCCGAGTTCGATTCCTCCGCCCCTCTCGGAGAGCCCGGCAAGTTACCGAGAGTATCTCACCCACACGGCAGAGCCTGGCAAGCTCCCCGTGACGTATTCAATATGCCAGACACAGTAACAACAAAGTCTCCAATGGAGATGTTACTGGGCCCGCTCGAGCAAATCGATGATCAATGGGAGGGCCTTTACTTTGCTTTTTTTTACCCCCTCAATGAGAAGGAGAAGAACCCATATATATTCTCTTATCATTCCACATGCTCCTTGGAATGGGGCTCTTGACCTGAGGCACCAAACCTTAAACACTCCCCTGGAAATCCCCTGCATCACAGGCCTGAGCAGCTCCACATCCTGGGGCCCTCGTGCTCGCCCAGTTGGCGAGAATCACCTAGAGGGTGTCTCTTGAGGGTCACTTGGGAGCTCCTTCCTACCCTCCCCCCCAAAAAAAACCCAAATCTCAGAACCTACCATCGGTTCTCCCAGCTCCAAAATAACAGAGAGGAAATCTTGGGTGGTTGGTTGTGAACAGTCCTAGGACACATGTTAAATAATAAAAGTGCGACACAAGAAGGAGAGAGAGAGTAAGAGGGAATGTGCCTGCCACAGAGGCAGGGGTGGGGGAAGGGGAGAAGGGTGGTGGCGGGAGGAAACATTGGTAGTGGAGAATGGGCACAGGGGAGAGGGGTGGGCACATAAACATTGTATGACGGAAACACAATCATCCAAGTTTGTAAGTCCGTAACTGCATCTCATGGTGATTCATTAAAGTAAAACAAATAAAAACAAAAATAAATAAAAGTGTGACACATTTCCTCTAAATAAATCAGTGTTTGGCTTTACTATCCTGCCTCCGCCAACACATAGAAATCCCGCCACATTTTAAGGGAACTTACTCATCTCTCCGGCCTTTGATGAAGAGGTCAGAACTTTGCAGAATTCCAAGTGAACTCAGACCCCCATCCCGACTCCTGCCTTGGCTGGAATCTGCCCCCATTCCATTTCATCCTCCCCACCCTCGCGGGCATTGCTTAATCGCTTTGCAGTTCTTTTTCGTCAGGAAAATAGGAGAGAAGAGGAAACGTCAAAAGTAAAAGAAAGGAATCAATTACACATCCCAAGCTGGGATGATGGAGACCCCCAGAACTGGAGTGCGTCTAACCCGCGCCCCCTCCCCCCACCGCCTCTTAAGAAGTTCTTACAGTGATTTTTATGAATTTTGGTTGGAGAGAAGCAGGGTGGAGAAATACTCTGGTGACTTCTGTCACTCTCAGCTTGCGCTTGTAACAGAATACAGCACAATGGAAGGACAACAAGTGGCTCCAGCCTGCACAAGCGCCACTCGGAGGAAGGAGCCCGCTGCAGGGGGAACCCTCCGACAGCCCCAAAGCCAGACGCACAGCCACCCACCGGCTCTCCTGTCCCAGCCGGTTCCTCTGGCGTAGGAGGCGGGGCCAGGGCTCCTGACGAGCCACTCAGAGAGGACCTGGTCACCCAGCTCCGGAGAGCCGACCAATGGGCGCGGGGGGGCGTGGCCGGGGCAGAGGCCGGGCGGCGTCTATAAGCACCCGGGCTGCGGGGCCCGGTGGCGCGCGGCGGTGCAGGGGGTGCTCGGGCTGGGCGCGGGTCGAGCGCCGCCGGCTCTCGGGTCCGCCGCATGGAGTCTCCAGCTTCCGCGCGGGGCTACGGCCCCGTCTCGGGCCCCGCCGGGCTCATCAAGTCGCCCAAGCCCTTGATGAAGAAGCAGGCGGTGAAGCGGCACCACCACAAGCACAACCTGCGCCACCGCTACGAGTTCCTGGAGACGCTGGGCAAAGGCACGTACGGGAAGGTGAAGAAGGCGCGGGAGAGCTCGGGGCGCCTGGTGAGTGCCTCCCCCCCTCCCCCGGTCCCACGCGCGCTGCCCTGCAGGACCCCACCCGCGGGCTGTCCGGTTCTTCGGCGCGGGCGGGGGTGACCGGGGTCTCGCTGCTGTCCAGCTCCCGGTGACGGTGGGTCTGACCCGGGGACGGGAGCGCAGAGCCGGCGCCGGTACCCGCCCCGTGCTCAGGACGCTGTGGCCAGGCAGCGGGGAGCGTCGGGGGCGCGGCTGGAGCGATCCCCGGGAGGACCCGGGTCATCGCTCAACTTTCCCTGTCTGGGACATGGTAGAGAACAGGCCTGGGGGCCCGCGCGATAGGTAGCTCAGCGGGTTGGCAGGACACTTGCCTTGCACGTGGCCGCCCGGGTTCCGTGCCCCGCACCCCAAATGGTGCCCACCCCGCACCCCCCAGCACTGCCAGGAGTGAGCACAGAGCCAGGAGTTCAGTCCTGAGCACCGCCGGGTGTGGCCTCCAAACAAACAAAAAAAAAAGTTAAAAAATGAAAGTGTGGAAGTAAGTAGTTCCTGACTCGGTCCACTGTAAGAACTGATGTTTCTGTTGGTAAGGCCAGTTCCTCTCATTTAGGTGGAAGGTAGTTAACACGGTTCTCAAACTTGAGCTTTGTAATCCCCCTGAGACACTTCTCTAACATAGTACTCCCTGGTTCCACATCCAGGTGCTTGATGGGGCCAAAATAATTTGCATTGGGACCAGCCTTCCTTCGAGGGCAGGGTGGTCCAGGGATTGCTGTCCTAGTCCAGGTGGGTGGTGATTGTGAGACACGTGCATGTGCATGCATGAGTGAGCATGTGTGCGCGTGTATATGTGCATGTGTGTGAGCATGTGTGTATTTGTGATAGTGTGTGAGCATGTGTTTGTGAACATGTAGCATGTGAGTGAGCATGTGTACATGTGTGAGTGCGTACGTGTGAGTGTGTTTGTCAGTGGGGGCATGTGTTGAGTATGTGAACATGTGTGCGTGCATATGTGTGAGCGTGTGTGTGACTGTTATATGTGTGCAGGTGTCTGTGTTGAGTGTGTATGCGTGTGAGTGTGTATACTGAGTGCATGTGTGCAGGTGTCTGTGTTGAGTGTATGCGTGTGAGTGTGTATACATGAGTGCATGTGTGTGCATCTGTGAGTGTGTGTAACTGTGTAACACACTGTGTAGCACACATGTAACACACTGTGTTGAGTGTGTGTGAGCATGTGTTGAGTGTGTGTGCTTGTGAACGTGTATATGTGAGCATGTGTTGAGCGTGTGTGCATGTGAGCGAGCGTGCGCATGTGTTGAGTGTGTGAACATGTTAAGTGTGTGTGCGTGTGAGTGTGACCGTGTGAGCATGTGTATGGCACAACTTTGCCCATTGGCCATGGCAGCAGCTGCCTCCCTGGACTGTTTGCTTTTGCAGCCAGTCGCTGGTTTGAAATTCAAGAAGTCATTTCATTGGTGAGGGAGAGTAGTTGCTGGAGAAAGGAGGTGGAGTAAAGGCCCCTGAGTGTGTTTTTCCTGCTAACGCCTGGCACGGTCCCCTGTGCCCGCTGCCAGGTTACAGCTATTGGGCAATCATGGACTTCCTGGCTTTCCTTTTCTTTCTCTTTCTATAACTGTGAGGGCCCGGGAGACTCCCGGCTCGAGACAGGGGCCCAGGCTTTGTCAGGGGCTTAGCGGGAACGAGCTGCGCAGGGCTTGTGGCTCGTGCCTCGTGGACGACAGTCGCAGGATCCAGGACCTAGAACTGAGATTGAAGTTCAGAGCTCCTGCCCTGGGTCACCTGGCGGAGGGCAGGGCCAGGGGTGTGCAGGAGAAGCATCGATCCTGGAGTGAGATAAACTGGCTCTCGCTTCAGTGCTGTAGGCGGGATTCCAGCTCCTGTTACATCAGAGCAGAGGGAATTCAGGAGGCATTCCCTGCCTTGGTCCCTGCCCTGATCCCAGTCTGGGGCGTAGGTGGCGAGACCAGGAGGGGGCTGCTGGCCCTGCTCTGAGGGTCGCCTGCTCCTGCCGACCCATTCCCACATCACTTCCTCCTGAGGGCAGCTGCTCATGGGGCTTCTCAGGGGACGCCCCCTTACTGCCTTTCACTGTCCCCTGCAGGGGCTCCCTGAAGTACCTTCAGAGAGAGACTCCTGTGAGGGAGGGGTGTAGCTCTGCTCCCCACCTGCCTCAAGGGGAGCTGAGATTGTTTGGGAGGAGATTCAGAGCCGGCTGGGGGCCTGGGCTGGTCATCTGCACCTTCCCAGCCGGCCCCAGCCCTAACCTGAAGCTGAGATTGCTCCCGTTGGCTGTTGGTCGGAGAGGGCCGGGGGAGGGCTGGCCAGGCCGGATTAATGGCTACTCCAGGAGGCCATCAAAGGAAAGACAAATATTTGTTCTGGATCTCCTGGTCTCAGAGTGCATGCCTGACATCCAAATGACATTTCCTCCTGGGACTCTCCCAGCTCCCCGACCACCTGCCCCCTAAAGAGAAAAACACCTGCTGGACCCCTCGGCGCACACGTGGGGGGTCTGCCCAGCTTGAGTAGCTGTGCTCGGGGCCTTGTGCTTCAGTATCTGTCTCTGGCTGGCTACGATGGAGGGGATAAGGACTGAGAGGGATGGCTCCCAGCGCTGTCAGACAGAGTACCAAGGCCAGAGGGGTGACCTGACTTGTCCTGTGCTGTCCTGTGTGTCCCCACCCCATGGACTCCCAACGTTCCCACCTGGGCCTGGCTCGCCTCAGTGGGCTTTGCTGTTCGGGTCACTGCCCCTAGCGGTGTTGGTGTGTGGTCACTAGAAACCTCCCTCACTCTAGTTTGGGTTTTCATTGGTCAGTAGGCTACTGGGCCAGAGTCAGACTGCAGGGTTCAGACCCCTCACACTCCAGCTTCCCAGCTTTGTGAACTCTGCCTCAGTTTGCTCATCTGTACAGTGGGGTGACAATACTTCCGGCCACCTGTCGTGCCTATAAAGGCTTCAACACGGGCATCAAGGTAGAGGACTCAGCACAGTCGCCAACACAGGGTGTCATTATTCTAGCAAGGCCCCCTTGGACGCGGCCCCGTCTCCTCCCGCCCTCGGCTCTGCCAACCCCACCCCACCCCCCCAGCCCACATCACCCCTGCAGCTTCCAAGCCAGAGCTCTTTGGTCTCTGCTTTGTTCAAAGTCCTCGTCTGTGCGTTGGCTCCTGCTGCCAAGAAAGGCTCCCAGCGGGCCGGCTGCCAGAGGCGCGCGTCTATGGGCCGCGGCCTCCAGCTCCTCCTTGCACCTGCCTGCTGAGCAGCAGGGAAGGAGACCCGGGCTGCAGGCGACGCTGGTCCCTGGGCTCCGGCCAAGCCACACAGAGGGCTGGGCCGGGAAAGCGCCTCGCCCGCCCTCCTGGTGGAGTGGACCAGAAGTTGGCAGGCAGGGGAAGAGGATCCGGCATGGAGGGGGAGGGGCCCCGATGCCCCTCAGAGGATTTATGCGATGGGGAGTCACCCCCAGATGCTCTCCCTAGCCCAGCCTAGCACCGTGGCAGGCCCAGCCTCTCCCCATTATCTAAGTGGGTCATCCTGCAGCACCTGGTCCCTCCCCTTGCACGGAAGACAGCTGCTCCCCAGGAAAGGCCAGAGGAGTCTGGGCTGTAGCTGTGTGCAGTGGTCCTTGCTCCCGGAGCCAGCACTTCTGGGTGTTTTTAATATGTGGGGGGGGGGGAGGGAGTGGAGGGATGAGGGTGGAGGGGTAAGGGATGGTACCAGTCCAGCAGTGCTGGGGGTCACCAGGGCTTAGGAGGCCAGGCCAGGTCAGAGATGGAATCCAGAGTTCTGTGCACGCCAGGCATGCACCCCAGCCCTCTGAGCGCTCTCTCCACCGCCTAGATCTTGTTTTGCAAAACTACCTACCGGCCAGATTCCTGAATGTATCCGCTTCAGACCTGGCTTGAGAGATGCGCCCTGCTCTAGGCTCCCCCTGGGAGCAGTGTGGAAGAGATGGAGCCCCAACAGCCAGCTTCCTCCCTCATGTGCTTGTAAAGCTGTAATTGGATGGGGGTGGCTGTGCCCTGGGCAGCCTGGCTCCTGGGGGACAGGGAGTGGGGCATTCCCTTCAGGGGTGGGAGGGGGGAACAGGAGGAGGGGTGCTGGCTGGGGGCAGGGCAGGGCGTCTCCAAGGAGCCTTTGTCTTCTGAGGTGGCAGTTCTGCTGTGATGACTTCCCCTCCAGCAGGTCAGCATGGCTGTTGCAGGGGTTTGGGACAAGCCCTTTACCATCGAGCTCGCCCGCCTGTGTCTTTGTGACTAGCGGCGGGTGACCTGTTTTTGAAGCCACTCAGCAGGCTGGCTGGAGTTTGGAGAAGAGCTGCGGGACCTGCTGTGCAAATGCATCTTTTCTCTGACGTTTGCTCGAAGCTTCCTCTGCCTGGAATGCGCCTGCTGGCCGTCCCTAGCCTCACCCCCGACCCCCCCCCCCCCCGGCCCCACCGTCATATCTCTTATCCTTCACGGTCGAAAGCAAAGTTTTCTCCAAGAGATGGTGTCTAGCAAAGAAACGCCTCTCTTGGCCCAGGAGCTCTGCTGTGGCATTCGTCACGGAGCCTGCAGGTGTCCTATCTGCCGCTCTTGGGGCCTGACAACCTGGGCTCAGTTGTCTGAGTCCCCCGTACCTGATGTGACACCGGCACACAGTAGGCATGAAGATGCCAGAGAAGAAGTGCCCTTTCATTTTCAGATGCGCCACCAAAACTGGCCAGACCAGTTAGCCAGATCATGGAAGCTCAGCAAGGATTAATCTTTGACACCCAAGGCTGGCCCTGTGTTCGCGTTATGTTCTCCTCCTCGGGTCTGGGTTTCCTACCCCAGAATCCCGATTCTCTGCCCACCCCAGCCCACAAGTGGAATGTCCATTGACTCTGTCTTCTAAACTTCATTCTTGGGCGAATAAATTCTTGGGCACCCTTAGTAATTGCGCCCACTGGTCCAGGATTGTCTGTAGGCCTTTCGGCCTCTGCATGATCTATCTGGTCTTGGAACCTGTGTGCGTGTCAAACTGTGTGCGTCTCTATTTTTTTTTCAATCCTCTGGGCACTAGTCAGCGTATTTGTGATTCTAGAGGTTGCTCAGCTGTTCTGCAGATGAGAACAAAGGTCCCTAATGAGTCTCCTTGCCAAGGTGAAGGGCAGAAGATCGGACCTGGTTCATCAACCAGGGATCGCTGGTGACTTACCCCATAGTGACTCGTGATTTGTGTTTGCCGGGAAGCAACTCTAAGCTTGTCTGTAGCAGAGACGGGGGGGGGGGGGGGGGGGGGCGGCTGGGTGGAGAGTCAGGGCAACACTGATGACAGGCAGAGAGAGGCTCTGCCTCGCTGCCCATCCCCCACAGGCCTTTCTTTCCCCAGCCATGCCGCCCCACTGTGCTCTCCTAGCACCCAACGTGGGTGAGGGGGTTCCTGTCCGCAAGCCAGACCCTGGGTCCCAAGGAGGCCGGAACTGTGGCCGAGGATTAAGAATGATTATGCTTCAGAACCCCTGGCTTCCAAAGTGGAAGGAATTGGGCCTCAGGTTCTACTGGGGCAAATCTGCCTGTGTGGGCAGATTTTTTCTTTTTATTTAATCTTTCTTTTAAAAAAATTTTTTTGGAAGGGATGCTGGGACCCGTGGTGGTGGAGGATGGGCGCTGGTGGAGGGATGGGTACTTGATCATTGTATAACTGAAACCCAAACACAAAAATTTGTAAGTCTATAACTGTACCTCATGGTGTTTCACTAATAAAAAAAAATTAAAAAATCTATAACTTTTACACACACAAAAAAAAAATTTTGAGGCCACACCTGGTGATCCTTAGAGGTTACTCCTGCCTCTGCACTCAGGAATCACTCCTGGCTGTGCCCAGGGAATCATCTGTGATGCTGGGATCAAACCCCGGTCAGCAGCTTACAATAGACAGCCTCATTTAAAAAGAAATAGTTTAAAGCAAATAGTTCGATTTCTCCATTGTTTTATGTTTTGAGCACAACCCCACAGTGCTGGGGGTGGGTGGGGGTGAATCCCAGCACTGCTCCAGAGACCCTGGGGTGCTGGGGATGGGGGCAGCATTTTTTGTGTTTGGCATCTCAGTTCTTGGAACCTGTGTGCATGTCAAACTGTGTGCATCTCAAACCCTCACGCATCCGTCTGATGCGAGATCTCAGTGTGCGATTTACATCTGGATGGTTTTCTCCCAATCCGGCTTCTTTGCAAGGCTTAATCTCTTGTCTGATTTTAAAAAACAAAAGAATTTAGAGGGAGATAGTTCGTCCCTTGAATCCCCTGTCAGAGGTCTGGAGGGTGCGGCCGGTTCAATCCAGAAAAGAGGGTTCCAGTGCCTTGGCTCATTGGGGGGAGGGTGGTGTGCAAAGCCCCCGCCCCCAGCAGCTGACACCTGGGCCTCTTCAGCATTCTGGGGTTGGGGGGGCGCCCCATGCCCTGCCCCCTGCCATTGTCCTCTTTCAGGGATGCAGCTCTAGGGGAGGCACCCGTGGCCGTCGCTGGGGTGACGGGCGTCTTTGTGAGCAGCTCCTCTTACGGGATTACGCGCGTTCCACGTTCCGCATTCTTGTCCCCTGGGGAACACAGCCGCTGTCCCCCTCCGGAAGCCATTGTCCGTCGGCAGGGCCCGTGAAAGGCGGGATTAGAGCCCCTCCCGCGGCAGGGGGGCTCTGCTTTCTGTCTCCTTTGGAACTGGGAAATGGAAGGCGGTGCTGTTTGTGCCTGTCTGGCGTGGCGAGAGGAACCGTCGGACTTGGGGGTGCCTGAGGGACCCAGGAAGGACCGTGAGGACTGGCCCACCCCCCTCCCCCAGGGCCTGCCCAGCACCCGCGCCAGGGGCCACCCAGCGTCTGACTGCTCAGACGCTGAGCCCAGCCTGTTTGGCTTCACAGAATGGGAAGGAAGCAGGGATTTCCCTGGGGACGTGCCTGACTCCCCAGGTGACCTCCCCCCTGCACACACCGCAGGCCACATGGCCACGCGCTGCTGCGTTTGCCCCTCTCTGCCTAGGGGCACCGCTTCATGTTAGTCTCCTTCATGTTAGTCTCAGTTTCCTCTAGCCTCACTCCACCCTTCCTGAGTGCCGGCCGAGCTCAGCCTTATATGGGCTTTTCACCTTTCCCAGGGCAGCACTGCAGTGCTCTGGGTGTTTGTTTGTTGCTGGTGATGGGACATTCCTGGCCCAGATCAAAGCTTTTGGGGGTGGGGGATTTCTTCCCTGTTATTTTTTTTGTGTGTGAAAAAAATATTTGTAACATAAAGCTTGCCATTTTAAGTGACGTAGTTAGTTCACGAGATTGTGTGATCGCCGCCAGTGGCCTTCCCAAATTTCCAAAGCTGCCTCAGCCCAACAGACGCGCCCATTCCCTCAGCAGTGACTCCCTCCCACTTCCCCTCTTCTGCCTTCAAGGGTCTGTGAACTTCCAGTCACCTCCGGGACTGCCTCGGACAGTGTTTGGCCTCGTGGCTGGGCCATTAGCAGGTTCTTGGACATCTCCAGGATGTGCGAGCCAGTGCTATGTGCTTGGAGCACCCTGTGAAGGTGTTTCCCCCAGGTGGTTGGGGGTGGAGGGGGCAGTTCACTTGCCCATGCAGTCAGTGGGCGTTCCGCCTGCTGAGTGCCCACAAGGGTGTGGCCATCCTGTCCCCGAGGATGCTGGCCTGGCTGTGTAAGGCACTTTCTCACCATTCTGTCTGCATGGGGGTTTCAGGAGGCTCAGCGCCTTCCCACAGTGGGGCCTGCTCCAACCCTTTCTCTCCGGCCCGTCCCCCACTTTTGGCTAGGCTCTGAGGACCCCAGGCCTCAGGCGTAGCTTCAGGCAGACCCCGGAATAAGCAGTCCTCGGCGCTGCCTGTTCTGTCAGGCCTCTCTCCTCACGCTCCCGCTGCTCTGTTCCCAGGTGGCCATCAAGCTGATCCGAAAAGACAGAATCAAGGATGAGCAGGATCTGTTGCACATCCGGCGGGAGATCGAGATCATGTCGTCGCTCAACCATCCGCACATCATCGCCATCCATGAAGGTAGGGACCGGGGGCCACGAGGGACGTGGGCAGGAGGCTAAAGGGCTCGCTGGGTCTCAGTTCCTCTTCTGTGAAACCCGAGAGCCCTGCCAATGCCACAGGGCACTCGCAAAGTTCAAATTAAATGTCACACGATGCTCAAGTCACAGGAAAAACCCAGTGGGTTATAGGGTTTGGTCATTATTGCTTGGTCTTGCTCTCTCAGCTGAGGATGTCAGTGTGGCAGGGGTGCAGACCCGCACCTGTCTAGGAGTGGGGGTGCTCCTCCCTGTCCCGTCTCAGGAGTGGGAGTCTCCTCTCCATCCATCTCAGGAGTGGGGGTGCTCCTCCTGTTCCGTCTCAGGAGTGGGGATACTCCTCTCCATCCATCTCAGGAGTGAGGTGCTCCTCCCTGTCCCGTCTCAGGAGTGGGGGTGCTCCTCTCCATCCATCTCAGGAGTGGGGTGCTCCTCCCTGTCCCGTCTCAGGAGTGGGGGTGCTCCTCTCTTTGAGTCTGGCTGGCTGGCTGAGTCATTCCTGCCACGAGACCGCCTCTCCCCTCTGTGTCTCTCGCACCTCCTCTTCCTTGACACCATGTGTCCTTCCACACCAGCTGCCCTGTTCCCTGTGACCCAGACAGCAGTGAGCAAGAGAGGGTGATGAGGGAGGGGTGGTGCACCCTCCCACACACTTCTGTCTGCTCTGAGCCTCTCCGTAGAGAGCAGCTAGAGAAGAAAAGAGGGGGAGCCGTGGCCAAGGCGCGAGACCCGGCAGCCTATGGTTCTGACCTGCCTGCGTGCTCCCGGCGGGGCCGAGAGCAGCCCCCTCTCTCAGGCTCTGGACACAGAGTCGGGCCCCCTGGCCTGAGCCTGTTCCCCAAGAAGCTGAGGCAAGAGCCTGGCTAATGGTACCTCTGGGTTCCCTCAGGGAAGAGTGGGCAGGTGAGCGTGTGGGTTAAGCCAGGCTGAGCTTAGTGACTCTGTGTGTGTGTGTGTTGTGTCCACACCCCCAGGAGCTCAGGATATGGCTTGTCCTGGGCCTTTCCAGTCAGCTGACTTAGAGATGACATAGCCCCTGTGCGTCTGTCCTGGTCGGGCCCTCAGATTCAGGCACACCCCAGGTGGGGGCGACTTTGATCCTGGGTGCCGACCTCTGACCTCGGGGCTAGAATGATGTGCCTGGTTGGTTCCAGGAATTGGGGGCTTCCACAGGCACAAAGGTTGCATGCACCCCTGTGCAGATATTGAGCATCTCAGCCAGGTGCTCCTCCAGGAGATGGGGAGCCCCGTTCTCCCGGCCCCACTCCCCCTGCTCAGGCGCCTCCTCGCAGCAGGAGGTCTGGGCCTGGCCAGGCAGGCCAGAGTCATCAGACCCGTTTGACACAAAGCTGCAGTGACACGCCGAGCTGAAGGGCCAGTTTGGCAAGCCAGCTCTTCTCGGCCTCTCCAGAGGGCTGGAGCCGGGACAGGCCAGCTCATCACAAACCTATACTGACCCCTTCATGCAAGGCCCTGGCCCAGGTCTTTCTGGACAGGAAGCCCATGGCACTGACGCCGGCAGCCCACCGGACTGTGTTCGAGCTTTCATGTTTCTATATTTCCGGTCCTCTCTGCCCTTCGTGGTGGGTTTGCTTCTGAACATTATTTCCAGGTGCTCCCCTGGGAGCACTGGTCCCAAGGGGCCAATAGGTGCCCTCCTCAGGGCTGTCCAGATGTCAGTCTGGAGCCCGCTTATTCCGCCAGCCTGGCAACGGGCACCTGGAACTCCCTTCTCCTTCTCGGCGTGTGAGTTGTCATCACTACCGCATGCTTCAAGAGGAAACTGAGGCATCTGAAGAGTTGATTAACTGGCCGGGCTCGCCCAGCTCGTGAGGGGTGGGTGGTGCCAGGGCTGGTGTGTCTCCAGGAGGGAGCAGGAGCAGAAGCGGCAGCGCTTCCTCCCCGCAGGGCTGGGGGGGGGGGGGGGGGCGGGGGCGCCTGAAGGGTGGGAGCCAGCGGGCTGGACTTCCCGGAAAGGAGTCACGCAGGGCTGGGGCAGGGAGAGCCCCCGCAGGCACCTCACCCTCTGCTCCGTCCTGCCCAGTGTTCGAGAACAGCAGCAAGATAGTGATCGTCATGGAATACGCCAGCCGGGGCGACCTGTACGATTACATCAGCGAGCGGCAGCGGCTCAGTGAGCGCGAAGCCCGCCACTTCTTCCGGCAGATCGTGTCCGCCGTGCACTACTGCCACCAGGTCAGCCCCTCCACACCCCCTACCCCACCCCCACCCCCACCCCGCCTGGCAGCCACTTGCCTCGCCACTGCCAGCAAGACCTGAGTCTCTACCTGCACAGTGGCGGGTCTGTCTTGGCGGCGTGGCAGAGCCAAGACTTGGGGCACAGTGTACCCCTAAAGAGGGGCATTCCCAGCTTCCGGTGTTCACCCCCATCAGAACCCCCAGTTCTAGTCCAGGCCTCCCTGGTGGCCTTCCCTTGACCCGCGTTTCTTCCACTTCCAGAATGGGATTGTACACCGGGACCTCAAACTGGAGAACATCCTTCTAGATGCCAATGGGAACATCAAGGTGAGCCCCAATTCCGATTTTCTGCCGCTCAGAACCCCCTCCCCTGCCTCTTTTGTCTGTCCCTCATAAAGACTCGAAACGATGAGGGTGTTCCAGGACGACCCGAACAGACCTCAGACCTCTCTGCTGGTGCCTGTAGGAACCCCTGCTCCCCACCCGTCCACTCTAGGACTCACTGAGGGCTCGAGGTCCCGCAGCCTGTGATTGGCAGAACCCGGGCTCCAGTGAGTTCGTTCCCGGACCAGGCTGGCAGGAGTCTCCATGCAGGATGGCTCCAGAGGCTGAGTGGGGAGGCTTGGGGGCTGAGTTCCTCCCCGCAGGGGCGAGTGGGGCTGAGTTCCTGCCTGCAGGGACGAGCACACACGGGTGCACTCTGTGTATGCCCTTTAATTGCTGCAGCTGGGCCGTGCACAGCCCGTCACACCTCCTTCCTGCAGCTGCACAATTCCTGGGCTCAGGCAGTTCAGTTGAGACCCCAGAAGCCCGTGCTGAGGAAGGACACTCACGGCTGGAGGAAGGACCAGAATGGGTTTTGCAGAGATTTGCGAGGGCTCAGGGCCTGGGCTCGCGGCCTGTGCTCGGTCCTGCTTTAGAATGTCCCAGGGTACACAGAGCTAGGAAGGGCGCTGACCAAGCATGTGACTGTGACCACCACAGCCCTGGTTTGAATCAAGGACTCTATAGGGTCCCCAGAGCGATCCCTGAGCACAGAACCAGGGGTCGCCTCTGAGCACTGCCAGGTGTGACCTCCAAAACAGAAAACAAAAGGAATCTTCCAGAAGCCAGGACATAGTCCCTTTGGCAGTGGCACCTGCCTATGCCCTGAGGTCCCCTGGCACTGAGTTCATTCCCATTATCCAGCCAATTCCCGGAGCAGGTGGGGGGGGTGGCGGGGGGGGGGGCACTCCGGCGCCAATATTTCCTTTCAACCCCGGGCAGTCACAGACTTTCCCGTCCTTGCCAGTCATCTGCCACAGGCCTCGCCTAGTGACGGCCTGATAAGAGGCCAGTAAAACCATAAAGGAGGGAGTTGGCCTCACAGGGTCCTCCGGCAGGTGGGCTGAGCAGCAGTGCATCCATCTGAGCAGAGCTGGGGAGCTGGGAGTGAGACGCTAGGGTGGACTTTAAACTCCCCAGCATCCTGGGGGTCCAGGAAGATCCCGAGCCCGGGCTCTGACCGGGCCCAATTCTGCTCCTGCCATTGCCCTCAGCCCTGATGGGCTCATGTCCCATACCTGCACCCGGAGGGTAGGGACATGGGAGATGCACCTTAGCTAGGAGTGGTGCGGCAAGATGGGTCTAAGCTAGGAGGGGTGCGGGGAGATGGGCCTGGGCTAGGAGGGGTGCGGGGAGATGGGCCTGGGCTAGGAGGGGCTCAGGGAGATGAACCTTAGCTAGGAGGGGTGAAGGGAGATGGGCCTTAGCTAGGAGGGGTGAGGGGAGATGGGCCTGAGCTGGAGGGCCACAAGAAGATGGGCCTTAGCTAGGAGGGGTGCAGGGAGATGGGCCTGAGCTAAGAGGGGTGCGGGGAGATGGGCCTGAGCTAGGAGGGGTGCGGGGAGATGGGCCTTAGCTAGGAGGGGTGCGGGGAGATGGGCCTGAGCTAGGAGGGGTGCAGGGAGATGGGCCTTAGCTAGAAGGGGTGCGGGGAGATGGGCCTTAGCTAGGAGGGGTGCGGGGAGATGGGCCTGAGCTAGGAGGGGTGCAGGGAGATGGGCCTGAGCTAGGAGGGGCGCACGGAGATGGGCCTTAGCCAGGAGGGGCAGCTTGGGCTCACACAGTTGGCAGTGGGTTGACTGTCTTCTGAGGTCATGAGGCAGACTCTCTCCCTCCCGCCATTCGGCAGTTCCTGTCTCCCTTGTCCTTCCTCCACGGGCCACCCCTGGGCTGCAGGAGGGGAGGGGGCCCTAGGAGGTCAGCACTGGGTGGGAAAGGTACCGCCCTAAGAGGGAGCAGCCCCAGGGAGTGAGGGGTGCGGCGAGCCCCTGGAGCCTTTGCAGGGAGTGGAGGTCTTGGGCATAGAAGGCTTCCCGGGAGAGGAGGCTTCCTGGCTCAGGAGGAGGAGACAGGAGAGAGTGGGGTGAGGGAGGTCCCCGGAAAGAGGGAGCCCCCGGGAGTCCCTTCATAATCCTGCCTCACCGCCCTCATTGACAGCCTCTTCAGGGCCTGGGAGGGGTGGGCAGTGCCCAGTGTGGGCAAGGGCAGGGCAGAGCCAGGGAACACTGCAGGCTCCCCATAATGCTTATTTATTGTTCATTCCACCCGCAGATTGCTGATTTCGGCCTCTCCAACCTCTTCCACCACGGCCAGTTCCTGCAGACGTTCTGCGGGAGCCCCCTGTACGCCTCGCCCGAGATCATCAACGGGAAGCCCTACATGGGCCCCGAGGTGAGGGCCCGCACCGGCTGCCTCCGCCCCGGCATCCCTACACCTGTGCTCCCAGGCAACGGGCGGGTCCCTCCCCTCCCATCCCTCAGCACACATGAGGATCCTGCTCCGCCAAGGCCTGGACTTCAATGTCCAAACTGAAACCGAAACCCGTCTCCAGGTGGGGCCCGAGGGCTGGTATGACAGCAGCCGAGGCGGTGCCTAGCACGCAGCTGCCCGGGCCCAGAGGACCTTGCCCCTCTCCAGAGCCGTGCAGTGCCCATCCAGCTCCTGGGCACTGTGAGGGCGCCCCCATGCCCCTGAGCTCTCCAGCTCTCCAGCTGCAGCTCCCCTCCCCACTCCCCAGCCCAGGGCCCATGTGCGTCTGGCTGACCGCCCTCTCTCTCCCAGGTGGACAGCTGGTCTCTGGGGGTGCTGCTCTACATCCTGGTACACGGCACCATGCCCTTTGATGGGCAGGACCACAAGACGCTGGTGAAACAGATCAGCAACGGGGCCTACCGGGAGCCGCCTAAGCCCTCTGGTGAGTGAGTGAGTTCCAGCGAGCAGAAAAGGGCCAGGGAGCGCGGCCTCTGAGGTCAGCCCGCCTTCTCACTCCGCCTCTGAAGTTTCCCGCTGCCTTTGAGCTGCAGCAGGTGCCCCAGGAGGCCAGAGGAAGAGTGAGGAGCTTGGGGTGCCCTGGCTCCTGCCCCTGCCCTTGGAGAGCTTGTCCAGGCCAGAGGCAGGAAAAAAAGGAGCAGATGGGCAAGGCTGAACAGGGCAGGCCGGGGCTGGAGCAAGAGCACGGGGGCAGGGCGCCGGCCTTGCATGCTGCCAAGCCAGGTTCAACCCCAGCACCCCCACACAGTCCCCCAAGCCCCACCAGGAGTAAGCCCTGAGCACAGCCGGGGGTAGCCCCACAACTAAACAGAACAAGAACTCAGTGGCGGGGCTGGAGCGATAGCACAGCGGGGAGGGTGTTTGCCTTGCAATGCAGCGGACCCGGGTTCGATTCCTAGCATCCCATATGGTCCTCCGAGTACCACTAGGAGTAATTCCTGAGTGCAGAGCCAGGAGTAACCCCTGTGCATTGCTGGGTGTGACCCGAAAAGCCAAAAAAAAGAAGAAAAGAAAAAAAAACAACTCTGGCTTAGTGGGGGTTAGGTCGGAGCAGGGGGAGGGCAGAGAGGAACTTCTTCTCTGCACCCGGTGACCAGGAAGTGCTGGGATGTCAGCCTGGCCAGGATGGAGGACACTGGGCACTGGGAGGCCCAGTAGTGCTGGGGGGTTCCCCGGGTACCACAGCCGATGACATGCTGTTCTTCCACTTTCCAGATGCCTGTGGCCTGATCCGGTGGCTGCTCATGGTGAACCCCAGCCGCCGCGCCACGCTGGAGGACGTGGTCAGCCACTGGTGGGTCAACTGGGGCTACGCCACCCGCATCGGGGAGCAGGAGGCTCTGCCGGAAGCAGGGGCCCCGGGCGGCGACTCAGGCCGGGCATCCATGACCAGCTGGCTCTGGCGCTCGTCCCGCCCGCTGCTGGAGAACGGGGCCAAGGTGTGCAGCTTCTTCCGGCAGCACGCAGCAGGGGCCGCGGGCCTGGAGCGCCAGCACTCCCTCAAGAAGTCCCGCAAGGAGAACGACATGGCACAGTCCCTCCAGGCAGCCCCGGCCGCCCCACACCCGGGCAAGGGCGACCTCAAGCAGCCCACCAAGGGCATTCTCAAGAAGGCCTCGGCCCCCGCGGAGGAGGAGGGGAAGGCGATGGAGGCGGCCCGGGGGGGCGCCAAGCCAAGCCCCTGCCAGGCCGTGCCCTCGGCCCCCAGGAAGGGCATCCTGAGGAAAGCTCAGAAGAGGGAGTCCGGCTACTACTCCTCTCCCGAGCCCAGTGAGTCTGGGGAGCCCCTGGACACCGGGGACGTGTTTGCCAGGGGCCCCTCGGTGGAGCAGAAGCCCCCGGCGGACACGGGCCCCCTCCTGCACCGCAAGGGCATCCTCAAACACAATGGCAAGTTCTCCCGCACGGCGCTGGACCTCACGGCCAACCCCGCCTTCGGCTCCTTAGACCAACTGGCTTCGGCCCCGCCGCCTCCCCGGGCCGGCCGCCCCTCGGGGGCCGTGAGCGAGGAGAGCATCCTGTCCTCCGAGTCCTTTGACCAGCTGGACCTGCCCGAGCGGCTCCCCGAGGCCCTTCTGCGGGGCTGCGTGTCCGTGGACGACCTGACGGGCCGAGAGCAGCCGGGCTCCGAGGGCCCCGGAGCCAGGCCACTGAGGCGCTGGCGGCAGGACCCACTCGGGGACAGCTGCTTCTCCCTGATGGACTGCCAGGAGGTGACACAGGCTTACCGGCAGGCCCTGGGGGTCTGTGCGAAGCTCAGCTGAGAGGGGGCGGTGGCCCCCAGCCCTGCGCACAGAGTCCAGGCACTGGTGCTGGACCCTAGGGGGTGTCCAGCACTGGCTGACCTAGAAGATAGAGGAGGGGAAGAGAGGAGGCCTGGGCTGGGCCCGCTGCCCGTTCTTTCCTGGGTGGACCCACTCTGTCCACTCCCTCTCACAGCAGTAAGGACTGGGCACGGAGCCTTCTTGCCAAGCGGGGAGGGGGACAAAGGAGTCCCATTCCCACCCTCACCAACGCTGAGAGGGGGCTGGCAGCCCCTCAGGGTGGGATTCGCTGGAAGGGGCTCAGAGAGGCCGTAAGAGAGCACACCCCGACTCCTCAAAGGTCCTGCGCCCTTCTCCACCCACGGTCCCTGCGCGGGCCCAAAGGAGAGCTGCTCTGCATCTCGAAGACTTGAAAGGACTCAGGCTAATATTGGACCTCATCTCCAGGGGGCCCCCGGGCCCCCGCCATGCACCTCAGATACTTGCTCTGGCCTCCGGGCCACCCTGCTACTGAGAATCCGTGTGTCCGTATGTTGTGTGTCTGGGCCCTCAGGACCCCAGAATGTCCCTATTTATTTTCAGTGTCTCCGTTTTGTGTTTTTATTTTTGTTTTTAAGTGAGTCTTGCCGATTGCAATGTGAATCCCTGGCTTTAGGGAAATCCACTCTGCCCTCAGTCTTGTGCACAGACAGAATACACAGTCTTGCGTATTTTGGCGATAATGTCAAGCGTTTCGTGGAAGTGGGGGGAAGATCTTGAATCCTCATGGTTGTCGTCGTTGTAGCGTCTTGGGGGAGGAGGGCAGGTCTCTGGCTTCCTCACTGTGTGTCCTGAGTCTGTCTACCTGCTGGACCCTCTTCCTCTGGGGTCGGCAAGCCCCACTCCATTAAAGCAGAACAGTGATCGGAAAGCAGGCTCTGTCGGTGTTTGGGGCACAGGGGGACCTGGTCAACCACGGGCGGGAAATTGCTGAAGTCAGAACACTGCCTGGTAAGGCAGATACTCCATGAAACTCACCCCTTGGCTGGAACTGGAGCAATGAGCCATCAGCCTACCCCGGTCAGAGTGAGTGACCTGTGCAGTGACACAATGACAGCCAAAGGCCAGCCCTGGGCCTTTAGAGCCGCCCTGTGTGCCCCACAGGACTGCCAGGATTCTGCGTCTGGCCCTGTTTGCTCTGCAGGTGGTGACACTAAAAGAGAATAAAAGCTGGGCTGTTCCCAACAGCCCGTTCCCACCTTCTCCACTCCTCCCCCACCCAGCTCACCCCGCTGCTTGAAGACACCCCCACAGCCTTTCTTCCCTCCCCAGCCCGTTTTCTGCCGCCAGGAATGCCTGGAATGCCCCTCCCAGCCCCCTGCTGAGCATTCCCCGGCTGCTCCATTCAGAAAGTCCTGGCCTGGGCTGAGGATGAAAGGGAGGAATGAGGACAAAGTGCAGGCCCGCGCCGGCTGGCCCCAGCACCAGGCTGGCTTGGCCCCCAGGCCCCCCCTGTTCCTGGCCTCGTGCATCTCCAGCCCTGGCTGGGTGCTGGCTCCTGGTCCCAGCACACCTGCCCACCTGTGTTGGAGGGCCATTGGGACCCTCCTTCTTGCATCCAGGGAGCTGGCAGAGATAATGAGTCTGGGGAAGGGGCGTAGAGCCCAGGCCACTGCGAGCGAGCCAAGATGTGAGTTCCAGTGAGAGGTGAGGCCAGAAAGAGCACAGCAGAGGAAAGAAAATTGCTAGGGGCTGGAGCGAGAGCACAGCGGGTAGGGCATTTGCCTTGCATGCAGGCCGACCCCGGTTCAATTCCCAGCATCCCATATGGTCCCCTGAGCACTGCCAGGAGTAACCCGTATGCATCGCCAGGTGTAACCCAAAAAGCAAAAAATAAAAATAAAAAACTAGATAATTTATCTCCCTCTCTGAGGTCCTAAGTTCTGGGGCCTGAGCCAGACACTGGGTTAACGGTGAGAGTTTTAGGGGAAAAAAACTTCATCTTCAAGAAGTTTATGGGGACAGAGCAATGTCTCCAAGGACCGGAGCATGTGGAAGGTCACGGGGGATGCCTGGTACCGCATAGTCCTGCCATGGTCGCTTCGTGTGCCAAGAAGAGTCCCCCACCAAAACAGAGAGGGCAAAGCACAGATTCTGGAGGCAGGGTCATTCCTGGACTCTCTTGTGCGTAAAGTTCTGGAAGACGGTGGTAATGGTTGCACTACACTGGCCCCTGCAGATGAGCCAGGCGAAAAAAATCAGTACAAAGTTGTCTGTTCAGGGGTCAGAAAAATAGGATAGCAAGTAAGGAACTTGCCTTGCACATGGCCAACCTGGGTTTGATCTCTGGCACCATATAGCATCTCCTGAGCACCACTTGGAGTGATCCCTGAGCACAGCCAGGAGGAGTAAGCCCCAAGCATCATCGAATGTGTCCTCCCCCAACAACAACAATAACAAAAGACTACAAAAGCTTGACTCAGGCTTTTGGGCCCTGGCCTCACCCACCAGATTGTTTTTTGTTTGTTTAATTTTTTTTTTTAATTTTATTGAATCACCGTGAGATACAGTTACAAGCTTTCATGTTCGAGTTACAGTCATACAATGATCAAACACCCATCCCTCCACCAGTCCACATTCCCCACCACCAATCTTCCCAGCATACCCCCCTTTCCCACCATCCCCCTGCCTCCCTGGCAGACAATTTCTCCCATACTCTCTCTACTTTTGGGCATTATGGTTTGCAACACAGGTACCGAGACCCACCAGACTGTTATACGCCAAATAGTGCAGGGACCAGAGAGTACAGTGGGTAAGGCACTCACATCCCGTTGACCCTAGTTCCATCCCAGCACCGCATGTGATTCCCTTGAGCCCTGTCAGGAGTGATCCCTGAGCTCAGACCCAGGAGTAAGCCTTAAGCGCTGCCAAATGTGGCCCTCAAACAAAAACAAACTTAAAAAAAAAAAAACACAGAGTCCAGAAAACAAGCTCAGAGAGAGGACGCTGAACCCCAGGGGGTGAACCGGGGGTGGGGACAGATGGAACTGTTGGAATATTTAGTGCCACCTCAGTGCTTCTGGAATGTGAATAACCTCCGAGCGCAGGCGGGCACCTTAGGAGGCAGGAAAGAACCTTCTGAAACCATTGTGATCAGAATCCTTGCTCAGAACCAGGGAGGGAACCCTGCGGGCTTAGCCTGTCCCCACCTTCACCTCTCCCAGGGCCTGGCTCCCTCCAGCAGTAGGACCAGGGTAAGGGGAATGACACTGACATGTGCAAGGGACCGTCCTCAGTGTGCCTGACACCAGCACTAAGAGATGCCCCCTGGGTGACAGGCACTAGGTGACTCTCCCACTAGGCCCCTTTGCAGGGGGGTGCGGAGGGGCACACCTGGTGCTGCTTGGGGGAGGGAGGACCATGCAGGGCCAGGGATGGAACCTGGAGCTCCAGCCCATTGAGTCACCCTCACCTTCCCCAAAGGACACCCGTTGAGGACTGAAGAGGGGGATGGACCCAGAACAAAGGCTTCATTGAAGGGCCCGGGCCTATTTCTGTTGTTGTTTTTGTCTGCGGGATATACCTCACAGTGCTCCGGGCTCACGTGCTGGGCTCTCTGCAGGCAAGGCAGGTCTTGGGCCCAGCAAGCTCTCTCCAGCCCAGGTCCAGGATGTTTTTGTTTGTGTTCGCTTTGGGGCCACACCTGGGCTGTCCTCAGGACTGACTCCTGACTCTGAGCTCAGATTCACTCCTGGCAGGCTCAGGAGACCATAGGTGGTGCTGGGGATCAAACCTGGGCCAGCTGCGTTCGACTGCTTTGACGCCCAAGCCCAGAATATTGGGAGGCAGGGAGGAACCACATAACGGATGACAAGAGCGTCCTTCTGGAAGGCACACGGCCCGGGGAGCAGGACAGGACTACGGAGGGGGGATGCTGAGCCCCAGATTTCCCTTGCTAAGGCCGGTGTCAGCCCTAAAACTGGGTTCACTGTCCCGTGTTTATTCACCTGGTGCTCACAGCGCTCATCATCTGAGGCTGAGGCACATCCGGCAGCTAAGCTGGCATGGCCCTGCCAACCTTGGGCCTCTGTTCCGGAGAAGTGAGACAAGCAATATGAGTCAACGAGATGTCATCATTCCCCCAGTGTGTAGGGGACAGGGATGGGGAGGACCATTTCAATAGGGGCCTCAGGTGACATGCATTTGTGCAAAGGACTGAAGAACAATGGGGGGAGCTGATCATGAAATATTGGAGGGAACGTTGTTCCAGGTGGGGGAAAGAGCCAATACAAAGGCCTTGCATAGGGAGCAGGTAGGGCACGTTCTGGGTGAGCAGGAAGGCTGGCAGAGAGTAGAGGCACAGGAATGGGTCTTGGAGGGAAGGTGAGTCACAGAGGGCCTGGGCCTGGCTTCATTCAGAGTGAAGGAAGATCGGGGCTGAGTAGTGCAGAGAAGGAGTCTGGTGATTTGTTTTCATTCGAGGGGAGGGACCCTCCCAGGCTTTGGGGCCTGCACAGGAAATGGGGTGTGGGAGAGGGGAGGGGGGAGGGGAGGGCTATGTTGTGAGCTGGAGGTGGAAGTGAGAAGTCTCAGAGTCTGGAATGTGGGAGAAATCACCGACTTCAAGATGCTGCTAGAAGCAGTTTCTGCTGCGGGTGGAAAATCGGACTGAGATTGCCGAGTGGCTGAGTTGTAAAGATTTGGGCCTTTTGGGCTGGAGCGAAAGCACAGCGGGTAGGGCATTTGCCTTGCATGCGGCTGACCCGGGTTCGATTCCCAGCATCCCATATGGTCCCCTGAGCACCGCCGGGAGTAGGAGTAATTCCTGAGTGCATGAACCAGGAGTAACCCCTATGCATCGCCGGGTGTGACCCCCCAAAAAAGGAAAAAAAATGATTTGGGCCTTTCGGTAGAAGTCTCTGCTGTGAGGGCTGGAACGTGGGGGGCAGGGTGGGGTGCTGAGCTGGAAGGGAGGGCAGTTTTGTCTGGGTGGGATCTGTCTCCTGACCTCAGGGATGGAGAACGCTATGG